TGATGTGCGTGCTGGAATGTTCCACGGGCATTGCATAGGCCAAATGGCATCACGACAAACTTGTACAGACCGTACCTGGTCTGAAAAGCGGTTTTGTGTTGGTCCCCAGGTTTAATGGCAATTTGATGGCATCCGGACTTTAGATCTATCTTAGTAAAGTACCGACACCCCTGCACTCTATCCAATAGGTCGTCGATGCGGGGTACGGGGCTCCTCGTTCTTAACGGTGATGGCATTGAGGCCACTATAGTCAATGCACATCCTCAGAGTACCTCCCTTCTTAGGGAAACATAAGACTGGCGCACCGTATGCGGAGGTACTAGGCCGAATCCATCCCTTCTCTGTGAGCTTTTTGAGTTGGCGGCGGAGCTCATCCAACCCCGCTGGAGACATCCTATAGATTCGTCCTCTAGGTACCTTACTACCTGGGACAACTTTTATTGCATGGACCACCTCCCTTTCTACCACTCGTGAAGGCTCCTAAAAAAGGTCGGAATATTGCGCCACGACTGATTCTATCTCTGGGGTGATTTTACGGCCTCCCCTTTCTCAGAGACAAAAACTAGATACATGCCCTCCTCACAATTTTGCTTATAGTAGTTATAGAAAGAGGAGGCACACATGCAGCCGTAGTTTTCCACTAGACTGCTAGCTTTAAACTTTTGCAGTCTAACGGTCCTACCATTTGGCAGCTTGTGTATCAACACCTTCCTATCCCAATCGAACTGAGGTTGAGCAACCTCGAGGTAGTACATGCCTAGCAGCATATCGAAAGGCAGTTCGTCTTTGACGAGGAATGAGATTTTATGTCTCACTTCCCCTCCTCCATAAGAGAAGGTACAGACTAGGTCCTTCACATAGTCTTTGACTAACATTTGGTGCTTGTTGGCTAGCGTAGAAGCTACAGTTCTACTAATCCGTTGCACTTGGTCCCCTAAGCGCAGTCTATCCACACAAGCACGACTGATGAAGTTTCGTGTAGAGCCTATGTCTACGAAGGCGCCTACTTTGCGGCCACCTACATCAACCTCTACCACAAAATGTTCACCCTTTGGATCTCTACTGGTCATCGCCCAAGAGTCTCTGGGGTCCTTCCCTGACCACTCAGTCTCTAACTCTTCTAGGGCCTCAGACACATCTCTCGAACAGATTGTCGGTGGGTCTGAATGTGTCTACGGGGCGATATGTGGGTCACTAGCGCTGAAGTGGAGAAGGCAACGTTACCACTTCAACGCAAGTAAGAGCGGCTAATACTCCTACTGGTCCGAGGTGTTTCCCTGCGAAGTGCTCGCAGAAGCACCGCCAGGGTTCGAAGATAGTCCCACCACCGTTGGAGAGGCTACCCTCGTTAGGACTTTCTTACCTCAACACGTTCTGGACGTGTGGCCATAGTTGCCACAGTTCAGGCACGTACCCCTAGCAACTCGGTCCCTCCACACCTCATACTCTAAACCAAGTTTCACCCATGAGGGCATTCCTTGGTCGCCCTGACCCGTGGACCATACTACCTTCTTCTTCCCGGTCCCCCTAGCCTTTCCTTGATAGGGGCCACGACTCCCCCATCCGAAGTTTCGCTGGCCCCATCATGCTCTGTCTCATCCCCTAAATCTGGGAACTTGTCAATTTGCGTTGTCTGACCATCATGGTCAACGAACATTAACTAACCCTTCTTTTTCCAATCTTGGGGAAGCTTCTTCCTCCTACCATTTGTTGGACCCTGATGCGCGAACCCAAGCTTTGCCTCTATATCTAAGGCTTTCTTGCTGAACGAGGCGAAGTTATATTGGTCAACATAGGCTTCATCTACCAGCTTAGTCTTAACCTCTGCATGCAGACATCTTAGGTAATCTGTGAGGAGAACCTGTTGGTCATAGCGCACACTAGACACCACAAGCAAGCGTCCTACGGTGTCTGTGAGTTCGCGGACATTCTTGTACCTTTTGGCACAAAGATTGTTGATCGCGTCGGTGGCTCAGAAGGGCCTGCTGAGTCCCTTGAGGGTCGTGCCACCTATTATACACAATCCGTACAAAGTCTTCCAATGTCTGGGCCTGGGACCAGGCATCGAAATTATGATTGTAGCCATGTTGCTGCACTAACCCATTCAACCAATGTGTTGCTGATCCCTCTAAAAAGGAAGCAACAACTATGACTTCCTGCTTTGGCCTGCTGAGCTTGTGCCTCACATAGGTAGGCACAGTCCTCACCCAAGTATCCAGGTCATCCTTTTTCCTGTCGCCAGAAAAAGGTTTAGGACTCAGCAATGGGATCTTTGGCATCCACTGCATGGGCTGCATTGGCCCAGGAGATTGCTGCAGTGGTTGCATCGCCACTGAGACAAGTTGTTGCGCGCTTACCTGAACCTGCCCTGACGATGGGACTGTAGTTACCACCGTCGTAGATGGTACGACAAAAACTCTAAGGACCAGACCAGTAGTAGCTACATAACCACCTGGAGGGGGTATGCCAAACATAGGTGAGAAGGAGGGCCCAACCGGCGACGGCGTCATTGATGGACCCGCAACCGAAGGGGGAGCTACAGCAAACTGGGGCTGCCTCATTGCTGGACGAGGAGCCTGTAGTGCAGCCAGAATTTGTTTCTAGCCTGATACTAGTTCAGCCAACACTTCCTGTTGAACAACCTGCGTCTCAACCACACACAGGAGTGAATTCCGCAGGGCTTGCATAGCGGGATCAAGTGCAGACTCATCTAGTGCCTCTAGCTTGCCTAGTTCCTACAATCTACTACCTAGTCTAGCTTTTCTCATTATAGCTCTTCTTCTTTTTCTCTCTCCTGCCTCATCCAATTGTCGTTGTAGCTCATCCTGAAGTTCTTCTGCTTGGAGGATTTCATAATCCTCCGGCGTGAGTTGAGCCTATTGGCTGACTTGCAAGCCAACACTCCGGCTCACGGAAGCCTTAGAACCACTCTGACTGACTCCTGACGAAGTGGCCTGTGTAGAGGCCTGCGACATGGAGGAGGTGGCCATGGTTGCACTTGTGCTAGCTATAGCTCTAGACCTGGCGCTGGTTGCGGCGTCCCTCACTCTCCTTGTTGCTGCCCTTTCTCTAGCCTCTCTCCGCAGTCTCTTCTCGTCTCCTGGACCTAACTCTAGGAAAGTAACGGGTCGACTGAGAGCAGTTCTATGAGTGGTCCTAAGGTCATCCACTAACAACTCCTCACCATTGCTTGCATCACTCATGAGCTACAGTGTGTGTGATCTAAACTAGAATCCACACCGAATCCTACCTCAGCATGACACACAGCCGAGTATGATATACAAGTAATTTCGGTCGGCCTGGACATAGACAGTTAGGTAGTTAAGTGTCAACTAATGTTAGATCCTCTTTTTAGATTACTCTAATACAGATTGCAATGCAGCAAAGAATATACTACTCTATCTGCAGTTGTCTGTCAGTTGTTAGACAAGTCCGTAACAACTAAATAATCAAAAATAAAAATAATGTTCCCTCCAGAGATGTATGCTAAATGGCAGTTTATCTAATTAATGCCACAAGGAACAGTTGCCGGAACCCAACCCTTTCCATGTATCCCTCTTGAGTAATCACTTTGTGTCAACACCCTGAGCATCTGGTTGAGCAGTGTGTCTGAAGGTGTGCAATCCGGCCCACCCCTGTGCCCCAAGTCTATGCCGAACCTGCCAGCCCCTGCACCTTATATATCCTCGCATGCAACGAGCCTTACACCCGGTTTGATATGGCTGATCAAGAGGCAGTTTTAGGACAGCCCCCACAGTCCGCAGGAATTCTTTAACATCACAATCAGGACGACGATCACAACCAGAGTCAACACCGAGTCCCCGCCAGAAATATTTCAAGATGGTCTGGAAAGTGTCTGTTCAAAGGGCTGGCATGCCCTGCATGACCTCTATTCCACAGCAGCAGAACCAAGGACTCGCGGCAAATCATGCGTGTACTAGTCCAGCGGGTTGGCATGGTGACCGTGACCCAAGTGCTTCCTCCAGGGTCCTTCATATGCATCGCCCGTCTCCCACCAGCTTGCTGCCCACGAAGAATGTCGACTCTCAAGGTTGAGCGTTCGCGACACCTCACAATGAGAGGACTCTCAAGACAAGACTCACTTCCTCACGGTAAGAAGCAATGAAGAGGGTAGATAAGGAAGGAAGCAACGTACCTCATAATGCTGCCCCCGACCACAGATTTCTCACCGGCAACCTGATGTGCATTTATGATGACCGGTCTTTGCCTCGGCACAACCAACAACAGAATGCAGTTCCACCTCAGCTTAAATGCCACATCAATGAGAGAGTGCACCCCTAATGTCACCAGATAGCTTCCTGGCGCGCCCACAACCCACGCCCAAGCCTTATCCCTGCCCCACACCTCATGCGAAGCACATAACAGCTATTGTGAAGAATCAATGAGCGCCGTTCGAACCAGCTCCGATACCAAATTGTCGGGCAAATGAGCTATAGCGAGATGACAATAAGCAGATTGCACAATCACATTGAAGGCCAGATAGTATCACACTATCCAGAAAGCAGAAATGCACCAATAAAACAGCAATGAAGATTCGTAACACTGAAAACCAATGTCAATGAGAGCTTGCTCTCGCCACCACGAACATGAGTGTCCAGGCCCTATCTCCCTACCTGGCGCTCGGCTCTCTGCGTACTAATTGACAATGCAACTGTTGACGCCATCAGCCTCCGAAGTACTTGAAGATGTCGCCCATGCAGACCATCGCCAATACCAGGTATGTGCCTTCACATCATCATCATCATCATCATCCTTCTCTCTCTTCCTCGTCTTATTCCCATGTCTTCCCTTTTGTACACCCGAAGTCCACCTCTGCGCCTCACTGTACAACCAAGCCCAACCAGCGATGGAGGTTGGGCTATGGTGCTGCCCTTAGCAGCGCCCTGCTCCCTGCACGACCGCACACGCTTGCACCTCGCCTCTCAGCGCCAGCAGCAGCCCATGAGCATCGGCTCCAGCAGCGCTGCCGGTAGCATGTGAGTGCCTGAATGAGGCTGCCGGTGGCGAGCTCTTTCCTACATGGAAAGAGCCTCCTGCCTTTGCAGCCTGGCTGGACTGGCCTGGGCCCAGAAGCTTCCGGTAGGCCCCAGGATGCTGCGCTTGTGTTGCAGCTACTGGGCCTCTTTCGGTTGGGCCTCACAACTGTCAGTGTATGAGGCTGCGATTCTTGCCCAGGGCTTGCATTCTTGGAAAGGCACAGGAGGCCGTGGAATGTGCTGCTGCTCGGCCTGTGTTTTCCCTCAACCAACTGGCGTGTCGCAACTGTCTGGACCCCCGAAATACGAAATTGATAGTCGAGGGCCTCTCATGATTTGTTAGGCCCGCCTTCACTTAGGGCGGGCACGTATGCAACAGGGGGCCCTTAGGCCTGCCGAGGACCCAGATCCTCACATAGATAGACACACACACACACACACACACACACACACACACACACACACACACACACACACACACA